AAAAAAGTATTTTTGATAGTTGTCAATTAGGTAAAAAATGTTCCTGTAATTTTTATCCATGGCAGTTCTGATGCAGCTTTATACGTTTCAAAGACTGCCACAGGTTGGACGAACTCCATACAGGTTGGTCAGCTTAAAAAAGATTGCTTTCTAAGGATGTTTATTGTTTTTAGTACTTCTTGGATCAAGGTTATACCCAGGCCGAACTTTATGCCACATCATGGGGTGATGATAATATTGATAATGCTGCAGAAAGGTTATGAATGCAAGCTATGGTCTCACCAAAGTATTTCGAAAAGTATTTTAGGGCGCACGATTGTTGTAATCTCACGCGTCTGAGGCGATTCATTCAAGCAGTGCTAGCCTACACGGGAGCACCAAAAGTGTCGCTCATTACTCATGGCATGGGTGTTACACTGAGTCGAAAAGCAATAAAAGGAGGCGTCCTCATCGAGGCTAGAAGTAAGAATGTTCTATACTTGCAGCAAAGTTTTTTGAAAACTGAGAGAGGGAAACAACATCTTCTAAGCAAAATACTGTTAACAGCCATGAACTTTGAAGGCACCGTCCACCCTAAGTTAGCGGTCTTGAGGTTGGAGTAGGCGTTTTGGGGTTAGGAGTTTTGGCAGCTTACGATAGTAGGATCCCCTAGCGAGGAGGCATGAGAACCCCAAGTCGGCACCGGCCACCTCCAGTAACGCCCTTCCCTTCGTTCGTCCATTCAGCCCTTTTGAAGGACGGCCTGTGGTTTTTTGAAACGGAAGTTGTCGGGGTTTTGTTGCATATTCTAGATTTCATATTCGAAATCACAGACGAGAAGGCCCCGAAACGACCAAAACATGGAAATCGAGAATCTGGGCGGACGGCGCTCTTAAGAGCTATGCTTCTTGTGTTTATATTGATCATTTTTTATTGATTTATTGCTCGATAGTGAATTTTAGGACCGCATGCATTAACATCCTTGCTGAGGAGGGGGTCGCACTTTTGAAGAAAGCTTCATATTCTGAAGCTCCAGATGTCTGAATTTCACGCTTTCATCCATTCGTAAGTATTCCTCTACCTTCACTACAAACATATTGAACAGGAGCGAGAAGTTATACAAGCAGCATTTTACAGCTTTTTGCATGGTCCCCATAGGTGCGATAAGGAGAGCCGGGCCCTCTCCAGGTGAA